TGATCTGCTTTCCGTCCCAGTTGGTGAACAAGACATGCCCCTTGTGCCCTCGACCTCAATGAATCGGCGGGGTGAGCTACGAGGTTCAGGAGGGAGGGCAGGCCATGATCGATCTCCTCAAGGTAGGGATCCTACGAGACGAGGAAGGGGACTGTGTTGATATGGGCGACGGGAGGGGGAGGTTTCCGATTTTGATGGCGCAGTTACCTCATCGTGATGCCTAATTTTGGTCTGTGTTCTTGATTTGTATGGCAAGTGGGGCCATGGTAATAAGAGAGCGTACTTATATTTTCTATTGACCAAAATTAGTCGCTATTGTGGGAGAGAATGGAGGGAAAGGAAAATTTTGATGCCAAATCAGAAAAGAATACAAGTAGTAAAAATTTCAAGCGAAACAATTTATAAATTTTGTTATTATCAGATCTAGCCCTTGACACGCACATGTACATATATTTGTGCCAAACACAATGTGCTTCTTCTATGTTTGTAAAAACTCAATGCAAGATGGGTGAAGTAATATTGATTTTTGTTGCTCAAACCGGGCCTAATAGGACGTGACCTGTCGCTCGCGGCATTTTTGCTCAACTTCCTCCGTCGTCGCATGCAGGGCACCGTCAACCGCAGACACCACCCCATCCCACCGCCCTTCCCTTGCCCTTGTTGGCGATGAGGGCAGCGGCGCGCAGCCACTAGCCCAAGATGATCATGACTAGTTAGCCGTCGGGGCGGCATCGGTGCCGCGCGGACATCTTCACGATGGTCTTCAACTAGTAGATGGTATAGGCCTCCACCAGTGCGGCGTTTGCAAGGACCTAGTCTGGCGCAACGTCTAACAATGCGAACACAGAACGGTGATGTGCATTGCGCCACGTCATGAAACTCGGCTGCCGTTAGAGCATTGCGGCAACATTCTCCCACGGCCGCGTCTGAGCTACGACACGAGGTGACCGTGTGCGTTCGTGAGCTCCAGGTATGGATCCAGCTTCACAGCGACCGAGCATCGATAGGGCGACAATCAGTGATGATGCGGGGAAGGCAGTGGCGAGGGCGGCGCGAATTGCGGTCACGGAGGGAGCTCGAACTCTCACTAAAACTCCTCGTCCATTGTGGCAGTGTAGGCAAGGAGGGGTGACTGCTGCTACTCTTGGTCATCCAAGGAGAGCACGACCTCCTTCTTCGATGACGTAGAGGAGAACGATGGGACAAAAGACCACACATGGCGGTGCCACGATCTGAAGGAAGATCTTCCGCCGGCGCCGAGAACAATCCGACAGAGCCTGACTAGCCTATCTTGCCGGTCTAGGATAGGATCGGATTGGAGCCTATGGTTGTGGGGAGAGGAGCAAAGATGAGATAAAGATGGGGTTGCTCGACGCTGGATCCCTACTTAATTAGCCCGGGCAGGCGGATTGTTCCGACCGACATCAAGGCCGTCGAGTCGTGTCCATTCTGGGGTGGCTGGCCGACATCGATATGCGGGAGTAGTTCCTAGAGCGGTTCATGCAGGAGAGTGTTTTGTTGGAACTGTGTACATTAGCACGAGTCTAGACGCCCGCAAACTTCCCCCAGGTTTGGTTCCAGTTCAAGGGAATTCTGGTTCGCAGACTTAACTGTATATGTGTGTTTTAATACCTGTAATATATTATAATAAAAAGGTATAAAATCATTCTTATTTTTTGTCATGCCTTATTATTTTTTACCTCGTAATATTTCCCTACCGCTAAAAAATATGCCTACAATTCATAGTCTAATGCTGCTTACTTTTACTTTTTATTTCAATTTACGCCTACTACAAAAAAAATCTATTTATGCATGGGGTATGAAATTTGTCGTAGAGCAGTTCATGCGGAAGAGTGTTCTGGCGGGACTGCGTACATTAGCACGGGTCCGGACGCCCACAAGCATCCCCCAACTTTGATTCCAATTCAAGGGGATTTTGACTTGCAGACTTAATCGTCTATGTGCGTTTTAATACCTTTAATATATTATAATAAAAAATCATTCTTATTTTCTGTCATGCCTCATAGTCCAATGATGTTTAATTTTGTCTTTTATTTCAATTTATGCCTTCTATGAAAATAAATAAATGCCTGCGATATGAAATTTTGTCCGAAGACAACCATGCAGAAGTTCGAACTTGGCCCTACTAGAATGGACACAAGGAAATCACCAACAAGATAGACTAGTGTTTACGTATGCTTATGGCTACAACATTTATTTATTTCTTGTTTTTTAGGGGAACTTGTTGGATCGAAGGGAGAAAAGAACTCGGCCCTACAACAACGTGTTCAACTTGCCTTTCTCTTGAAGCCCATCTCTTATCCCGGGTGGACCTGCGGGTAAGCTGTTACTGGGCTTATTTTCCATCCAATCCCATTTCTTATTTATTCTCGCTCAGCTTGCCTTTCTTGCCTCCTGTTTTTCTTCTCTTGGATGTGTTGTGCTTCTGATTGAAGGAAAAAACAGGCCAACGGTTAACACGATTTTGAAAAGTTCATAGAATTCCAAAAAAATTCACAATTTTCTAAACAAATTATGAAATTAAAAAAAGCTCATTGATTTAAAATAATGTTCATGAATTTTAAAAAAGTTCACGGATTTGGAAAAAGTTAGCAGAAAAAAACCATATATTTGATAAAATTTTAGAAATTTGACAAAAATGAAAATTTTCATCAATTTTAAAAAATCTCATCGATTTCAAAAAAATTACATTGAATTTGTAAAAAAAGTCCATCGAATTTGGGAAAAAGTTCATCAATTTTCAAGAAAATGTCTCAAATTTGAAATGAGTTCATAAATTTTGAAAAAAAGTTCAACAATTTAGAAGGAAATCTCAATTTTGAAAAAAGTTCATCGATGTTAAAAAAATCATGCATTTTGGAAAAAAATAGAAATAGAAAAAAACAAAAGAAAAAACAAACTAAAGTGGTCCAGAAAAAACCCGGCCAGGGAAGCTTCCCAAAACCCGGGGCTTCCCCGAACTAAAGAAAGAATAAAATGGGAAAATGAAGTTAGTAGGCACAAGCATTTAGATGTCCTATTGGTTACTGGGTTTGTCTTTGAAAGAAGATGTCTAGAGTTCAATCCCACTGCCACTCATAATTTTTTGCTGTTTAAGCAGATATTTTTGCCACCACATTCATTATGTGTGTCGGCGTGTCTAATTTTTATTTTTAATTATGTAAATTTGCAGCCTTATAAATTACATAATATAGAACACATACATGGCAACATATAAGATCTGTTGCAATCTATGTATGACATTATGGTCATGAGATGTAAGTCTACAACGCATATGTTGCAACGCTTATATGCATATCTCTTGTGAATTTTGCAACCTGTAGTCAAAATGTTGTAGAATATATGTTGCTTTATAGGGGGTATCCTTGTAGTGAATATGGCCTAATATTAAAAAAAATGATTTGGTCCAATTTGGAAACAAATATATGGTAGGTCCTTCACAAAAAAACTCATTTCGGGCATTCAAAAAATGGAAAATGAATTTTCCGTGCAAAGAAAATGAAAACTCCCTTAGGAAACATTGTTTGGAATTCCAAGATGCACCCTTGTGCACAATATGAGATCATTTGAACCAACTATGCCATGAATGTGGCCATAAGATTGATCATTTGGCTTGAAAGCCATGAATCTTCACACATGATAGCTCATTTTTTAGAACACTTTTTAAAAATAATTGCCGTATTACAAGTATTATTTTTCCTGGAAACTTGGTCACATATAATGACACAATGCGAAGGTTTTCCAATTTTTGGATTTTTTTGAATTTTTTATGCCCGTTTCGAAATGCGATCAAAACGGCGGGTTTGACCGTTCCATGCTAGTAGTTGAATCTTGGAAAACTTTTGATGTTTCTCTGATTAAATAGATACTTATGTACCTAGAAATGATTTTTTGAAAAAATAAAGAGCAAACTATGAGGACGCTGCAGTTCAAATTTGACCCGCTTCCTACTGAATGAGCGGAAATTTGTCTTTTTCATGAGAGGTGGATCAAAATTTTTGACACCCAATATTTGGTCAATTGTGCATTAAATATGTCCTAGTATTTTAGAAAATTGATTTGGTACAATGTTGCAACAAATATATGGTAGGTCCTTCACAAAAAAAGTCATTTTGGGCACTCGAAAAATGATTAAAAATAGCTAGAAAGATCATAAATGCATAGAAATTGGTCCTTATCCATAAAATGTGGTCTAACTCTGGTGAAAATTTGTGTGGTGCCATTTTGAAAAATATTTTTGATAGCTACTTCACAAAATCCCTCTATTTTTAGTACTTCGATACTTTTTTGAATCACTGGTTTTTTGAACCAATCAGGACTCTTCCCACGGATCAATGACATGGGCCCATCCATCCATCCATCTCTCCATCCCACATCCATCCATCCATCTATCCAGAAAAAAGAAAATAAAATGAAAAAGAGATACCCCCCACCCGCAGCCAAACCCTAGGTCAGATCCCATCGACTCCCCCCCATCGCACCCCTCCTCTCCTCGCAGCCGCCGCCACCTCCTCGCCGACTCCCCCCATAACACAATGAGAAGGTTTTCTATTTTCTTTTTGAATTTCTCAGGTCATAAAATAGCTGACATGATTTTAACACATTATTTTTAGGCAACTATGACCAATTTAGATGGTCATAGCATCATACTGCATTCTGATTGGTCCGTAGACGTTTCACGCGGATCGTGTATCATGCACCATCGGATGCTCGTGGATCCAACGGCTGTCCTCAACCCTTCCACACCAACCCCGAAACCCTAGATGGTCATTTTCCATCCACCCCCGCCTCCTTTCTTTCCCACATCCATCCATCTCCTCGTTGTCTCGCCCGACGGAGAGAGAGAGAGAGAGCTGCCTCCTCCCTTCCAGATCGCCGCTGGCACCTCCCTCCGGCGGAGCTGGCCGCCGTCCATGGTCTCCTGCACGCCCTACTCCTCTCACCCCTCCCCTTCCCCCACCCAACCAAACCGCACGTCCATGGCCACATCCCTTCTCGATCTCGTCGGGAACGAGGCCACCTGCAACCACCGGCCTCCATCGATCCAACCATCCATCCATGCCAGTAGTAGCACTCCCACCGCCCGTGCTCCTTCCCTAGTAGCGCACCCCGACGCCTCCTTGTCCCCACACAACCCGCGAGGCACCGGCCTCCTCTTCTTCGCGCCTCCCGAGCAGCGACCAGGAGCCCGAGCTCCATCTTCTACGCCCGCGTCCGAGCGAGAGGAGCTCGCTGCTCGAGCATGCACAAGACCCATGGCGCCCTCCCGAGCTCCTCCCGTGCGTGCCTCCACTCATTCTCGTTGCCCTCCGTCTTCATCGCAGCACCACAGGACCAACAGCTCCACCGCGCATGCCCGCCGGTGGCAAGAGTCCCAGGCGAGTGAGCCAAGCCTCTCCCTTGCCTTCTCCTTTTCCCGTGCTCCCTTTCTTCTCTTCCCTCGCTAACCTCCTGCTCTCTCTGTCCTTTTCTCGTTATGACAGCCAACACCATGGATGGAGTCTGTCCAAGATCTCGCCGCTCGGACCCGCTTCCTCTGACCACCCAAGCCTCTGACCAGCCTCGTCGCGTGGACCTTCTCCCCCACCTAGCAGATCCGGCCTCTCCTGCCCGTTGACCGCGCCGCCGGAGCCCTGCATCGCCCCTCACTGGTTCTTACTTTGATGCCCACCTCTGTAACATTTTTCACTCGCTCTACTTGTTTTGATGTGGAGATGTGAGGAGTTCGTAGTTTCTTTGTGTGCTTGGCCGATGGGGTTGTTTTTGGCTCTGTTTGGTCTGTGCTGGATAATAGTCTGAAGCATGAAGGCGATAGGAACCATGTGTGTGTGTGCGTGTGTGTGTGTAGAACCTTGAGGTTGCAGGCTCTCCTGGCTAAATGAATGGATTCTAGTGGTTAACTGGCAAACTGAAACATTCGTGAATTTAGTTGCGAAATTGGCAGGCAGACTGATGTCTTTGCTGTAAAGATTGATTTACTGTAAACTGCTTTGTTTATCTTATTTCGATAGTTTCTGAACTTCATATTAATTGAGGCTTTAAACCAAGAATTTGTTTCTGTATCTTTTAAGTCCTTAGAACTCCTAAGAAAATTAAATGAAGTTTTCTGGCGTGCCTTGCAATAGCTGGAAACAATCGAGTCATGTTGATGTTGTCAGGCTTGGTAGATTCAGTTTGGCATGGATTCAGATCAAGTTTAGATTTTGAGATAGGTTTGTTTCTGGGATTTTGCTGCTGGTGTTGTACAAATGATGCTTGCCATTTTTGCCTCTAGAGTCGGTAAACACTCTGTAAACAACTGACAAGAACAACAGATGTTCACGCTGTCAGCGTGTCGGCTTGGAGATTTGACCTGTGATATTACTAATGCCCATCCTCTGTCCGTCTGCAGCCATGATATTCCCCTCCCTCATGCAACTGGAGCACGGGATGAGCGACTCTGACGACTGGAGGCAGAGGGCGGCGTGCTCGGAGAGGTACAGGAGGAGAGACGAGCCGGAGGACAGCAAGAGGCCCATCTCCGAGATCGACGCCGAGATAGAGGAGGAGTGCAGGATCTGCATGGAGCTCAACAGTAGGGTCGTGCTGCGCAACTGCAGCCACGACATGTGCATCAAGTGCTACCATCAATGGTGAGCGAGAACAAGAACCTGCCCCCCTCACATTATCATTTGTTTTTCAATTTTTCTGCCATGTTTAGTTCAGTTCAGTTCACTTCAACCAGAGCAAGCATGTTTGGTCCTTGGTTTAATGCGAGCTTCAGAGGTCTCCAAGACAATTCATTCTGGTGTTCTTAATAAGTGCTTTAGATGGCAATACTACCCATGTTAACATTACTCATGTTATGATGTCCAATGGCCTGGCAAATGCATTGCGCTGTCCGTGATAGCATCTGTTTGTGTAATAGGATATGCTCATCCATGTTGCTGCACCATTTTTGCTTAATTTCTTACCATTATATGACAATTAAAAATTCAGAATGGAATTGGGATGGACGAGTCTTACTGATACACCCCTTGGTCAATATTTGTCTTTGGGAGCCATGACAATGCTAATGTTCTGTTCTTTTCAGCCTGCCTATGTACAATTTCTTCTTGATATGCTTCACTTTTAAACGGTATAGTACATGGTAAAATGGAATCGGGATGGTTATGTCCTGGTTGTCATGAGAATATGTTACTGCTGCTTTTGTTATTTATCGCCTTTCCTATGTACAGTTTATCCCTGGTATGCTTCCCTGTTACTATTATATCATCATGGCTCAGCTAACATCTCATTGTGCTCTTTTTCATTTCAGAAGTCAGCCTCCGGCCATGGCGGATCTGCAGACGCCGCTGGTGCGACCAAAGAGGAAGAAGGTTATGGTGGACTACCTGCTACGGTTTGCTTAGCTCGTGCGGATGGGAGACGGATGCCCGCAAAGATCCGGCGTCTCCGACCTCAGCATCCACAAGGAGGAGCGACGACAATTACATACCCAACCATGGGGCAGCAGCAATCCATGGTTGAGCCTCCCTCTACCTCTCTCACGTTCCCTGATTTTGCTGCTGCTCTAGATTCACTTTCATGCTTGACTGAATCTAGTGCTATTGCTGTCAATCCCTAGTCCCTAGTTCCACTGCTCTGAATTCACTTACATGCTTGACTAAATTCACTTGGCATAGAAATCGATGACTGATAGAGGCTTCCCGGAATGCTCTGAATGCATAGAAATCTTCTTCAGTTTTGTACATGGCACGCATGTTGCTGATAACTAATCCGCTTTTGCTAGTTCTACTGTGACTCATGTACGCATGTTGGTTGGAAATTTCCATGATTATACATATATTTTTATTACATTATACATTAATGTATTATGTTGTTATTTGTGCGCGCGATGATTTCAGCCTGTTTTTTCCCTTTCCTCCTTGATTGATCTATTAATGTAATGTTATGTTTTTGTAGGAAGGCAAGTTGTCGCATCTGGAGCACATCAGAGGGAGCAATGAAGTTTGTACTACTTGGTTCTTACCATTAGGACAGTACCAGATGTGCTAATACGAGCTGAACAATGCTATGTAGTAGTAAGTTAAGGCAAATTGTGTAGATAATGTATTCCTGTGTAATTAAATGTTGTATTCCCTGTGCACATGCTGCTTTAAATGACATGAAGATTATGAAAATTGTGTACATGCTACTACATATGGGTTGAATATGGCAGAAAATAGTACTGGGCTTGAATAGGCCATGGCCCAAACTAAGTTGGTTTGGAGCTGTTTATTTAATGGAAAAAACTCGTTAGAGAAGGGTGAAAATAATAAGAAATTGACTATTAAAAGGCCACGACCCATAATATAAAAAAGGCTGAATTGTGAATATAAAAAGGCCAGATTGTTGGGCCTGGCCCATGAAGCCGATCAAAAATTGACAGAAAAATATATAAAAGGCTGAATTGTTGGACCTGGCCCGTGTAAAACACCCAATCGGACCGGGATGAATCTTATCAACGACCTTCTCAATTTGTCGCAATTTTGCCACGTCAGATCTGACGTGGCCTAGGCAGACAACCAGTGACCAAAACAAAAGGTCATGGGTTCAACGACCTTCTATTTTGGTCGTAAACGTCTATGACCTTCTCATAGAGAAGGTCGCTAATTTCAGTTTACGACCGCCAACTTTTGACCTTCTGTTTTTTGTCACAAAAAGGTCGCAAATGAAAAACTATGACCTTCCAGCGGCCAATAGTGAGGGTCACAAGTTGACATATTTCTTGTAGTGCACACCGAAGCCCAACGAGAGGGTGGTATTTATCCCTCATTTCCTCCGCGGGCTAGGGTTTCCACTCCACCCTTTCTTCCGCGGGCTGATGTACTATTACGGGATAGACTTCCATGATCTATCCCCGAACTCTTTCCTCAACATCTCGGCGTTCATCTTCGTGTGTGAGGCCTTCCTCCACATCCAACCCCACTTCGGGCTGTGGCTCAAGGTCTTCAACGTGAAGCCGAAGGTGGTGGATGGCCAGCACGCGGAGTGCGGAGGCGCCATGGTGAGCAAGGTGACCAATGTCTCCTGGCCAAAAGGCACTTTTATAGAGACTGTCAAGGAATGGCAGAAACAGTGGTTATACATCACTGAACCCTGCGGTGCCACCTGGGCCGTGGTTGCCGAATTCAACTCCGGCGCTCCCATGCGACTCACCTACTGGGTTGAGAAGAGACCGAACTGGTGCTCGCCAGATGAGCTGATAGCGCTGCAGACACGCATTCAAAGCATGGTGGACAAAGATATCATGCTTGTCGATATAATCCAGGTGATGCTAGTTCGCCGAATGCTCCAGTGCCAAAGCCGAAGCCGCCCTTTATGGGAGTTCAATCCGAAGAAGCACCATACCCTGAAGAGGCTCTTCGAAACCACTCACGAAGACGCCTGGAAGTTGCTCTTCAAGGGCAACGAGACACCGCCGGCCGCAGATTCGGACCGCGGGCATGACATTAACCACCTCGCCAATGAGGTATGTTATTTTTAACGCATCCCTACTTGCTTGTTTCAAGGATTGTATCAAGCTTTTATTATCACTGCTTCTTCAGGAATGGATGGCGAGGGTGAAGCAAATCCAGTGTCTGGCTCCGCTGCCTGAAGAACTAGTCATCCCACGTTTAGCGAAGATGCTGGTGGCGGCGCCCTATAAGGCGCCGGAGAAGAAGACCATGGGGAAGGCCAAGGGGGTTCGGAGTGGCCCCCGCCGCAAGGGCGCTTCGGACGCGACGTCCGAAGAGAAGACCCGCTCCTCCGTTTCCAAAGACGACGACGACGATGATGATGATGATGAGGAGAGCGGTTCTCCCCCTGATGGGGGAGGAAGAAGAGGGTGGCCTCCACAATTCTGGAGGCGGAGGCGCCCAAGAAGGGGAAAGGCCCGCTCGTGGGCAGCTCCACATGGGACATTGACAGCAGTCCGGAGCGATGCCCCCGCACTAAGCCTCAGGCTGCCTCGTAAGCGCTAAGACTCATACATGCCCATAAATCTAGCCTCTCCTCCTTGTTGTATTGACATGATTAGTTATGCTACTGCAGTCCGGCCCACGACAGCTCCCAGCGATCCTCGTCACGAGGTTCCTTGGATTCAACGGCAATGACCATCGAGTCACCGCTGACCACATACTCCCCCAAGGCCAAGGGCGACGTAGAGGTGCTGTCCCGAAGGACTTTCCCAGGCCGTGGGGAGGCTCAGGAGGCACCAGAAGGCGAGGCCTCCGTCGCCGGACACCAGGGGGAGCCAATCCCCCTGGAGACTGGTGGTGAGGGCCGTAGTCAGTTCGGCCCTCAGCCGGATTCGATTCCGGAGACCAATACAGCTCCGGAATCTGGCGCGCAACCTCCTTCGAAAGAAGGGGGTATGCCTATTTCGCCGGTGACCCCTGTCCAACCATGGGCACCGGATAATCTGCTGGAAGCGCTGCGAGGCGCTTCCATTGTGGATGAGCACTGTGTTCTTATGGGCACGGTAATTGAAAGGGTTCAGTCTGCCAAGAGCGGACTAACAGAAGCCTGCAGCAGCCTGCTGACAGGTTTTGAGGTAAGCGATGCCAAAAAAGAGAAAATCCCAATATAGACAGTAGCCCCTGAGACACTGTCCGGTGTTCGGAAAGAAAAAGCCGGACAGAGGATCAATCCTTTATTGCAGGAAACTAACTAAATTTGTCTGAAATGAATACGCAGGTGTCGCTGTTGGCCACAGCTTCACATATTGCCGAGGTCTCCGAACTGAAGCGAAGACTGGAGCAAGCCGAGGAGGAGCTCGGCCAGGTGAGGAGGCAGCTCCAAGAAAAACAAGGTATGTGATCACCCATTATGTATTCTAAAAAAGTAAAATGATATGCATTGACCGAAGTTTCTTGATATGTATAGAAGCGACGACCGAGGTTGAGGCCCTAAGAAAGGCCCTGGCCAAAGCCGAGGGGAAGGCTGTCAGGGAGCAGGACACCCGTAAGAAGCTCAAGGCCCGGGTCAACGAGGTCCAACAAGAGCTCCAGGATGCGGTGAGGAAGTGCGAGACATTGGAGCGTGATGCGTCAGCTCAAGAGACCGAACTCGCCAAGGCTCGAAAGAGTGCGGAGACGGTCCGGAGTGAGGCCCAGGGCGCCCTTCAAGATATCCAGGAGGCCAGGACGATCGCGGTAGGTAAGGCATTTAGTATGCAAAGCAAGTATGTGAAGAGGAAGTATCTTATACTAACCCGGATTCGGAGTTCTCTAGGGGCTTTTGCTGATCTGCCACGTAGTGTGTCTGACGCCGCGGAGTTCTTCCGAGCCGAAGAAGGGAGTTCCATGAAGAAACTGTTCTGGTCGCAATATCTTGCGCTAGAACATCCGGTGGCCTTTAGCGATCAGCTAAAATAGCTAGTCGAGCTACACAGGATGGCCAAACTGGCCATGAAGGATTTAATAATCCGTCTGTGGCCAGCCAAAGCTATACCCGGCAGTTACTTCGGCCTCGTGAAGCAGTTGATCGATGCCTGTCCTAGGCTGGACACCGTCAAGTGGTCCGTCTGCATCGAGGGAGCGCGTATGGCCTTTGCCCGCATCAAGGTCTAGTGGGCGAAGATGGACGCCGTCAAGCTTGTGACCAAGGGGCCGCCCGACGGCAAGGAGCACCTTATACCCGAGCGGTATTTTGGCGATGTCCTGGAGGGGTCTCGTATTGTAGCGATGTAGTGTTCGCATGATATTATCTTTGAATGAATGTATTCAAGTTCCTTCTACCTTGTATGATAGAACAAAGTGGGTTTGTAATATAATGCTTGTTATGTTTTGAATTTTACCTCCTATGCAGCCATGTTGTATGAAATCTGATGGTTGGCCAGTCGTCGCCTTCTGCCCCCACGTAGGTAGTACGAGGTGTTCGGTATGGAATCTAAACAATCTTGATCCAATTATATGGTCCTTGAAGGAGTTGTTTAGCGCAACGAACCAGGCAATCAGACTATGAGGCTTTAACGCCCTCACTTAGCCATAGGAGTTCGACAATAAAAACATGGGCGCAACCCCTAGTATCCGAACTAGAGTTCTATAAGCGTCTAATCGGGAAGTACCGATCCTTCACGTAATGCGAAAGAAATCTCCAACGATTTACAACCTCCGAAGAGCTGACCGGCTCTCGCCGCATCATGATAGTCAGTTTTTGGCTTTCTCTATTAAGGTGCGCCTTTGGATAAACCAAGGCACAATGACAGTAGTTCTCCCTTTACCACCTTAGCCGATATAGTGGAACGTAAGGTAGAAAGCATAGGAGCCAGGCAACCCAACTATTGACCAAAGACATGATTCGGAGCCAATGCATATAGTGCTAAATTCGGGGTGCCAAACTATACTTATAAAAAGTGTTCGAACTTTTGTTGCCGTAGTGTGGGGTGCTATGAAGCCCCTGGCAAACATCAAACATACCAAACTATACGGGTGCTACCTGATAGGGTTACCCACAAGGGAGAAAAAGAGAGAGAAAAAGGAAGAAATAAAACAGAAAGGGTGCAAAAGGTGATAAGCTGTGTCCTTAAAGCTCTAGCCGCGAACTGTTTTCGTTGTAATTTGATTAATACGTCGAGGCACATTGATACAAGTAGTGCGATAAGCAACAGACTATTTAACATGCCAAAAACCAAGGGAGAGCTGCGTGTGGGTCCTAAAAAAACAGGTAAAGTGATTGTTAATGAAACCATCTTGAAAATCCCCCGTACGTCTGCGTTTCTCGCCGTCTTGGTGTGTTTATCCTTCAAGAGTACTGGTGATCAGGCCATCAGATGGGGCCTGCGGGATTGAAACCTGAAAAGGAAATGAATAAAAGTGAAAGTATGTGTGTATCCGGTGTCGGTTGAGCCGTACTGTGGATCACAAACTAACTATGCCTCTGTCGATGCCCATGGAATTTTGAGTGCATAGTTATGTACGCGTGGTGCGACCGCCACTACTTGACCAGGACTGAGACGGAGGCCAAATTGCTAGTTTAGCTCCTGACGAGCCGAGCTGTCCTACTGCAGGGTAGTTCAGACCCTCTTGGTG